TTACCATTTTGTTTCAAAATACTACTTTGGAATTTTAATTCAAGTAAATATTTTTTGGTAAATGCAAGTCAAATTATATGTACACATTCAGTCTTCTAGTTTTTACCTAGTTTGAACATTTTCTTTGAGTCATAATTATATGAAAAAACCCATTTAAATTTGTTAGTATTTTGTTGGTTAAAATATTTCAGCTTATTTGCTTCAAATATCAAAATTATATAGGTACATAGTATTGGCTGTGACCCTGAAAATGTTTATCAGATAACTCTTTGAACTTTGCTTGAAAATTGATTATGAAAATGGTGATGTTTTGTCTCTTAGTTGACTTTTGTTACTTCCTTATTATTTGTTGCAAAACACTACTAAATTCTGAGGAGATAGCTCAGAAAATGTTATAAATAGTACCCCTGAGAAATCACTATGTTGAGCATAAACCTTAAAAATTATAAATTACTCTAAATATCTAAAAAAAAATATGTCTTGAAACTTTAATTCCTTCAAGAATTTAACAATTTTGGCACAAAATAATTAAACTCAACCGAAATAATGTATAAATCTTCATATTGCATTGTGGATATAGATATTGTATAAAAATACCCATATAGAGTTGTTAAAGAAAATGTAGTTTAAACATTAGTTTGTTATCCATACACACAAACAGATCAATCACATATCAATAAAATTGATCAACTAGAGATCGGTTGAAGTAAATTATTTTTTTTTTACCAACTTCTGGTTCTAAATCACGGCTTGTAACCTAGTATCACCATCCTTGGATGTAATGTAGTGTGCTTCAGTTCTGAGGTTCGTTTGAACTGAAACTTGTGACAATCTTAGTGGAAATTACAGTATAACATTTTATTAAAGAACAATTTTGTAATCAATGCCATTTAAGCTTTCAACCACTATACATTCACGTACCTTCTACGTTTAACACAATACACAAACAATATGGTGCAAGGAAGGATCAGAAACAAAGGATCATTCAATTATTTGACATTTTATTACCAAGGTTTGATTACAATATGTCTCCCTGTAAATAGAGGTGAGATGAGTCCTGCTGTGTGACCAATTCTCTGATCAATATAATTACTTTTGTACAAATCAAGTTCTTAAAACTGCTCCAAGTGACAAAATATAGATAAGTAATGAGGAGGATTAAACAAATTGTATTTTCTTTAAATAGCATGTAGATTGTGCTGTGTAAAATAAACGGTACCAGCAAACTAACACATACTTTCTCCTATTGGCTTGTCAACAATTCTTATAATGGGTACACGGTGGGAGTAACTATTACGGTTTATGGGGAAATCACAAAAATTGCAATAACTTTTGTAGCCTACCAAAATCTTAATAGCACTGTGGGTTGTACAATTTTGTTTAAAATTAAAAGGACCAAATCATACTAAATGTTAATCAAAATTGTTTGAGCCGTTTAAAAAATCAAATTTTCCTGTTATTCTATAGGGTTCCATGAAAAATCATAATTAAAATCAAAATTTCAAAAAATCTATACTCTTGTGGGTTCCATGAAATGAACGTACTGAACAAATTTTATCATAATCTGATCACAGGCTTAGTAGTCTGTAGCGCTCTACAATTCCATACCCACACAGACATCACTTTTAAAACCAATTGTTTGGGTTCAGGGGACTAAAAAAGTATACTTTTCACCTTAAACTTAAAAAAAATCAATACTTTCTCCATATAGCCTATAGTCCTCGCCACCCTAAGTTGAGGCAGCCCAAGGCCGCACGGCGTATATCTAGTGCGGCCTTTGGCTGCCTCAACTTAGGGTGGCGAGGACTATGGTTAATATGTATAGGAGAGAAAGTAACATTAGTTTTGGTTAAACGCAAGTGAAACCCAAAATTCCTAAAATATTTACGAGTTGTAAAGGTATTGTTATAGTCCTCGCCACCCTAAGTTGAGGCAGCCAAAGGCCGCACTAGATACACGCAACTTAGGGTGGCGAGGACTATAACACTCATGTGTTTTTGAATCTGTAATGATATTCAAATCCAAAAACTGAACCATAGAATTTTTATACTTGAAATAGATCTTTAAAATGCAATAGAAACTTCTGGGGAAAATGATTTGGTAGTATCCATTAGTAGTTCAATAAACTGACATTATCACCACCATGTTGCACAAAAAATGTATAGACAAATTACAAACATATTTTATTGGAACATTGATTGATAAAACAAGGAAATGTTTGGTGAAAGAACTGTGTCAGACTCAATTAATGCTACAAACATCAGTTCTGGGTTTGAAAGAGTTAAATATGTCGAAGAGTAAGATATTTTTCTTTGAGTGCAGTTGTTTGTAAGGTAATTATAGCAAGGAAAGCATTTATCAGAAGTGAGGCTCTGAAAAAACTATACTTATCACAGCAAAACAAGAGGAGTACAGTGACGCTTAAGTATTGCGCTAACATGCTGCAAGTATTATTTTTTAACTTTTTATGTTATCTATTACCAGTTAAACTAAAAACTAAGTTGAAGTTAGTTTTAAAGAAGTTGCATCTTACTCTGCAATGTAAATGACAGCCTTGAACAAAGTTTAGAAGTATGAATAATTACATACCATATATCAAACATTTTCTGATATAACACAACAAAAACTAACTTGTAAGCAAATGTTTTCTCTGCGCTCGCTATTCAATCTAGATTTGAATGCCATCTTACAAAGAATTGATTCTGGACGTTATAAACTACATTTTCTAACAGGTTAGATAGTCAAAACCAAAGTTTGAACTGTTAACTTAGGATAAAGACCACAGGTAGAGGCACACACTCAGAAATTGTTAAATCTTTTCTAAATCAACCCAATAGTCTACTCATCAAAAATCAAATTTAAAGACTTGATATCCAACAAGTACAATTCAAGGCCATGACCCAATAAATTCTGCATCAAGCTTTCAGACCGCTTGAAATTTTGTCAAAGAAGGATTTGTCATTCTGTTTGCATCAGCATTTAATCGGCAAAGTCGTTGAGTTAGCTAATACAGTGCTGTAGTAGTTTTGCAAATAACTATAGTCCAACCTCCAACGCAGCAACTGTCAATTTGAAACCATCGCACAGTGAGATCAGCTTCATCAATCCACCTGAAGAGCTAAGCGCATAGAAAGGATTTATAACAAAGAGGGAAACAAAAAATTGTCCATGTACATACATGCAAATTTGGCGTGTTACATATACAAGAAGAACACATTGATAGCCATAAGGTATTGAAAATTCTACTGCAGTGCAACTTATACAGTAAGCCATAATCAATTCTTCAAATCAGCGAATATCTTTACTTTAGCATGACCCAACTTTGAAGACGTCAAGATTTAATCCTACCACAGTTCTCAAAACTCAAGAAGTATGGATAAAAGCCATGTTCAATTCTTCAAATCAGCGAATATGTTTACTTCAGCATGACCCAACTTTGAAGACGTTATCATTTCAACCGACCACAGTTCTCAAAACCCTTGAAGTATGGATAAAAGCCATGTTCCACTCTTCAAAAATCAGCAAATATCTTTTACAGCATGACTCAACTTCATCAAACGGAAATTCCAATGAAGCCTACAGTACTTAATGGACATGTTTATTTTCTATTGTATCAAATAGCTTTGTATGGATAGGTTTACTATTGTGATTAGTTGAATTTTTAGCTCATAGATTAACCTATCACTGTACCCTGATCACCACAGCTAGATGTTTTTGTACATAGCTTGACGCAGACGTAAGACTTGTCTCTAGGTTTTCTCTTGTCTAGTTTTCACCAAAGCAGGTAGACACCGTCACAACAACCCTACTAACTCTAGAACAGCATGTAATTTGCAAAGTTTAGTACTTTCTGCATCGTTGTGACTAAATTTTGTTTTCTAAAAAATGTTTTATTGATGTGGTGTTATTAACAATTTCCCAAAATTATTCACAAAACTAAAATACGTAACAAAGTCAACTGTGTGCTTCTTGGTATTACGTTTGTTTTTTAAAACTTAATCTGTGTGCCTTTTATCGTAGCAGTAGTGTTGTTTACCAATTTTGCCTTCAAATGAACTTTTTACCTAATAATTTTAAAATTCAAAGAGTACTTAACGTAAATTGAAATAAACTTGTAACTTTACTGAACTTGAACAAAATAATTGGTTGTCTTAAATTCAATCAAGTCAAACCTGTATTTCTCGCAGAAAATGTTTCAGAGGGTTAAACTTTCGTATTTGTGGTGGTAACGTTGGCCAGCCTGCTGATTTGTTTTTGTGTTAGGTCGCTCGTAAGTTGGCAATGGTGGAGGCTGACTTGGAGCGTGCGGAAGAGCGTGCTGAGGCTGGAGAATCGTAAGCTTTTTTTTGTTCCGTAAGGTTTCGTTTGTGTTTTGTTTGCAGAGAATGCTATGCCGTCGTCACAGCTGTATTTAGTGTTATGCTTATATAAAAATGAGACTTATAACCATAAGAGTAATGTTATGTTTTATTCATATTTGCATCTTATCTACATTTTATTAATGAGCAAAACTGAGAATATTTGTTCTTTTACATGGTACTTCATTGTAAAACAAAATTCTTCTTATGGTTGTAATTCTCATATGATTGTTTATATTTAGTTTTAGATGTATTATGCATGTTTTATATTTGGTTTTTCCACCGATTTCCATATGCTTGGATGTGTTACACTTCCACTTTTGACATATATTGAAGGTTTTTTTTTATGATTGTTATGAATAATTTTGCATTCACATTCACTCTTGCAATAATATTTTTTGTATTGTGTCAAATTTCAACATTACACAACCAAACGCCTTGCATTTTTACGTTTGTTTCATTTACATTTTCAGCACAAATTGCACTATAACAATCCATCCAATCAAAATTTAAAATAATCTCACAATGGATAAATCAAATTGTTTGCTGTTTTAATATGAATTCCGTGTGAACGCAAGTTTGTTGTTTTGAGCTGTACCTAGTGTGTTAGACTAGCACTAAACGCATGGCTTGGTAATACAGGTGGCTCGAAAGCTCGTCATGATGGAACAAGATCTAGAACGAGCCGAAGAGCGAGCGGAACAGAGCGATTCGTAAGTTGTCCACCGCTTGCATGGTTTTGTGGCCTCGTAAATATATATCAGTAGTTTTTACGATTAGATTTTCGCTCATCAAACTTGATTAGTTTGTGACCATTTAATTACATTATTATCCTTCATTTTTATTAGTACGATACATTTTATACTCAGTTACTCAACTCTGTTTTCACTCATAATCTTGCCTTACTAGACTTTTTGAAGAAAAGCCAATTGGCTAGCAAATATTATTTTTTTTTAAGGAAAAGAGTTCAGCTACTTTACCTGAGAAATTTAGAGTCCAGGGCTAATGTATGCACAATAAAAACACACCAAACACTGGTATTAGATACATCTTTTTTATTGTTTATCTATTTGCCCTTCAACACTAAATATTCTCAGATAACCAAGCTGGATTGTGTTTTTCTTTTTTTTATGCCTCATAAATTTAGTAGCAATTGTTTCATGAATCAATCATACAACAAAATGTTTACGCCACACTACATTATTTTGACGAACTTCCCACGCAAGGAATTAGTCCAGAAAACAGCTGTTTGCCGCCAGCTTATTCAAATGGGGTTTCATTGCGTACTACTGTGCTGCAATGAGTTTTGCCGGACACCAATCAGCTGATTATACTGTATTTAGGTGGCAGTGAGTAGTTATAAACAAAAACATAACCTCTCTTAGAGGTTATGACTAGTGATTTTTAGTCCTTTAGTTGGTGGAAATAAGGATTTGTATGGATTTAGTAGTATGGCGTAAACTATCGTACGTAACTCGTCCAAAATGTGTGTACCGGACTCGTATGGTAATCCCGTACTCGACTTCGTCTCGCACGGGAACGACAACACTCGTCCGGTAAACACTTATTTTCAGGACTAGTAACGTAATATACTAATGTTACATCAATGTACTAACGTAGCTGTTGGAAAACACCATTGCTGTATCTGTGTAATCATCAAAACTAGTGGCTTCTCATTTGCAAGGTTTCAATTGTGTATCAAATTTCGTTGATGCCTGTAAAAACAGACAAATGAACTGATGCAATGACTCTATTCTGTAAAACATTGTTTTGTTTTTTAATTCTTCAAAGACGATTAATTAATCAGCAAAATTACGGATTGACTTTGAAAAAATATTTTAAAATTGACAATTATTTTATACAAACTTTACCATCAATTTAATACAAGATTGTTATATTTTAATGGTTATGTATGATAACTACCTTATATTAATGTTACTGTTTGAATCTAATATATATTGTTTACAATTTACAGAAAGATTGTAGAGCTTGAGGAAGAGCTCCGCGTCGTCGGTAACAACCTGAAGTCCCTGGAAGTCTCAGAAGAAAAGGTATTTAGTCTTGGTTGATCAGTCAGTAAAATGTAGGGACATATACAATATTTATTGATCAATAGAGATTTTCAGACAGATAATATATATTACTGCATCAAATATTAAAAATCGGAAAGTTATTAATTTAAAAGTCTTACGAGTTTTGGGAAGTTTTTTTGTGACCATACAAAAACATACCCCATTCAGGATGTCCATGATTAGGAAGTCATACTTCCTAATCAGTTTTGACAATTATTTTACAAGCTTTAAGATCCAAAAATTAACATCCGTTTGACTGTAAATTGACGATAAGAAGAAAAGTGTTGGATTTCACTGTTAAAAACTGTTGACCAAGGTATTTATAATATTAATTTTCAGTAAAATCACTGAAATGTTTCCATCTCATGTACGCCTAAAGCATTCTCAATCTATTTTAATCAAATGTACGATACGATAAGTTAAATTCAGTTTTTCATATCAGAATTATCGAGAAAACAATATTTTTGTAAATTAATCGATAGAGAAGTAATTTTAAATCTAATAAGTTGAACTAAAACTCCTTCAAAAAACTGGAATTACCTAAATGAAAATATTACTGTCCAAATTGACAAGCGATTTATTTGAATTGTTGCAGAAAACTTGTTAAAATTTACAAAAGTGTTGTTATAAATCCTTTCCATTCTTCCTCAGCAGTTTTTAGTAGCTCATAGAAGAACAGAGGCCACTTATTATGAAATTAAAACCTGCTCGTAAGTTAATCACTGTAAATCTATGATGGCATCTTATTTCTACTCCTGACTTGGCAATGTTTAAACAGGCTAACCAACGTGAGGAAGAGTACAAGAACCAAATCAAGACTTTGACCACAAGACTCAAGGAGGTATCATACCTCGCATGTTCCCTGAACCCTGTTTTTTGTTTTTGTTTACGCTACTTTTTTCTCATTGGTTTGTGTGGACCAATCAGACTTGGCAGTTTCTTTGAGAAACATTCATTTTCTTGGCTTCATTGCGAGTGTTTTATGTGTTTACTAACTTGTGTGTATAATCAAGGCGACCCAGAGAGAAGAGAACTTCGAGGAACAGGTCAAAGCTCTGTCCAACCAGCTCAAAGAGGTAATTCCAACGTATATTCTCGCTTCGGACAGTGTTTTCTTTTATGTCTTGATTGTAATTGTTCTACCTTTTACAAAATCAATGTGGGCATTTTTTTTCTTTAAACTTGTTTTTGAACCACACTCCTATTATACCTTGTAGAACACCCAATCTTATAGGTCCATTAAAAATGTACATATTATTTTCAGACATAATAGATTATGGTTTTAATACCCTACAAATGACACTAAGAGTGCATTGTGAAAAAAAGTAGAGTAGTGGCCTTTTATTCTATCATAACTTTGAAATTTTCACAAACGCTTTTGCCAAAGAGTTCTACTACGTGGCAACATAAATTGATAGAACTTCTAATCGGTAAACTGCATGCCTATGATCCACTCATAATCTAGTTTGGTCTTGATTAAGTTTTAATGAAACAATCAATTTTAGAAGAAAAGGGTGAATATTTAGTTTGAAGCCCAGCTAACATAAAAGAGCACTGTCCGATGATATAAAGATCATGCTAAAATGCATGAAAGGTATGGGTATTCAGTATTTCTTCTTAATTACTTTCATTTAGTATTTTATTTCAAGCAGACTTTATTTTTGACTTCATTGTTTTATTTTTGATTTGTACCTTTTTTTAATTTTTCTGTCCTTGTCATGCTTCTCAAAGATTGTCATAAGTTTTGCATTTTGAGCAGTTTAATGTAATGCTAATGTTTATTATTTGTACGCCCTTCAAATACATTCAGATAGTCACATGTTCATTAACAAATCGAATCAAAACTAATGTAATGCCCTAAAATAGTTTTTACACTTTTTTTTTTATCAGACTCTTTACCTGGCTTTTTAAAAATAAAAACCAGTAATTAGATTGATGATGGTACAAATTTTTAAGTTTTTGTAAATTTTTTATGGTTTTAATATTACATCATTGGTTTTTTTAGCAACGTGATTTTCCTAGTTTACGATTCAATTAGGTGCAAGCGTTGACTTTTGGATGCTGAAGTATACATCCTATCTATACCAGATCTTTTTAGAACATGGAGAATAGAGATCACGGTGTGCGTCACAGTCTAAAACTCTTTTTTCTTCTGTAGTTTCTGTTAAGAACTAATTTATGTGAAATAAAAGATACCATATTTTGCCATTAGTCAACCTTTTAAATTGGTTTACCAAAAGAGTTGGCGTATTCGACAGAAATCTGTTATTTACATAATCACACTCTTAAGAATTCAACTACGTCCATGTTAACGAAAACTGGCTACAACTTTGGAAATGGAATATCTATTTCTATTCACAGTCAATGTTGCAAACTATTACCTATTGATGACTAAACCGTTTGAAAGTTGTATAATTATTGGACTGGAACCCTATCTTGGTGGAGGTGGCAGCTTTGGTGGTATACGCTACAGCAACACTAGCTAATAGCGTTAACCCGTAAGTTCTAGTTTAGATGCTTTTGGTTGTAACGCTGTTTGATGCTTTTGCCTTAATTTTCAATTATTTTTGCTTTGTATGCTTTTTGTGTTTTCTTATTTTTTTATTGTACTAGTAGTAGTGTCATGTACCATTTGATTGTAAATGTTTGATCGATTGATGTGTTGTTTGATTTATATATCTCATTGAATGAATTACTGAGCTTTAACTTTAGCAAAATGTTATCTGCTACTGTTATGCTTTGTCATTTTTGGCTCCATTTTGGGTTGGATATTCTCTTGTCAACCATAATCTATGATTTTCACATTTGTTTTTCTGTAACAGTTGTGCAATGAGTCATATGATTTTAAAGTTGGTTATTATGAGGGCTGTCCTCAATCTATGTTCTCCAACCGGCTTCAATCGCCAAGCGAGCTTAATCAAATCTCAATCCAACATCTTGTTCTTTACTTCCTCCAGTAATAGTCTAGCCTGTTCCCATCACTTAACATATAGATGATACGCTTCCACACTCACAGTAGATTTTCAAATGAGGTCTTCGGGTGACCTCGTTGAATAAGGTAAACTAGAGACTGACAATTCGGATTGCAGATATCCGTCTTCGGGGCAAACTGAGTTACTCATCCGAAACGTTGTCCTCCAGTTTACCTTATTCAACAACGTGGTCATCACCTGAAGACCTAGATTTGACTATCACTAAACATGATTATTCTTGACTTAGTAGCTGATTATAATGTCAAGGAAGATTGATGCTCCTGCCAGTATAAATCAGGTTATGTGGATAGGTTTCTATAGAATTGAGGTCAACCCTATTGAAATCCGCTGCCGGTCGATAAATGTGTATGGAGAAGTGTATAGACGTAAAACACGTGCGTAAGTGCCTTGGTGAGTTTGCAGAAGGCCGAACGCATACACATATGCGTAACGTGGTACTGATCGTCTCTCAGTTTCCATAGTGATTGAAGTAGAAGAAAATTATTTTGTTGATTTATGTTTATCAGGGTTTATTATTGTCCTAAGTAGTCTTAGAGACAAGCTTTATCAGTTTGGCAATCAGTTAAGTCATAATTAAAAATTTGATCATTAAAAATTTGAGCAATGCGAACAAAACTGAACGGCCACAACCAGTCTTCATGTCCAAAATGTTTACAACCATCCCCAAACTCCTTTGGCTGTTGAAATAAAGGATTTTCATTCATTCATTTAAACTCCCTGCATATATTTACTTATATTTATAGCACTTTTCTCAATTCATATCTGCCAACTGGCAACAGGCTCTTAAGGGAATGACCTCTTGAACCACAGTGATCTTGTTACAAAATCAATTTGTTCATGACAGGAACGTAGATTATTTTTTGCTACAAGACCAATCTTTGCATAGGGGTGGAAATTAACTTGAAAAGTACTGAAGGAAGTAAAGAACATGCGGTGTTGTCAGATTTGAATCTGCTTCAAGTGCTTCCAAGTCGAGCTCGTAGGAGGCCTCAATGGACAGATAGCTCTTTTAATCCTGATTAGTTTTGTATTTAATTTTAATGTAAATTATTAAAATTTACTAGTAGATTATTATAAAAAATTAAAAATTTAAAAAAATATTTGAATTTAAACTTTTCTGACAAAGGTATTAGACACAAAGTCCAGACTTTGCGTCAATTTTGACGGACATAAATTACAAATTAACTTACCGACTTGTATTACATTTTACCTCTGTATTCTACAACCTTCCTAGACATGTCCTCCAAATTCCTCATTAGATTGTAATTTTTGTCCTGATATATACTCAAAATGGTACACTTTTTCTGTGTCTTGCAACAGTGTATGTTTTGGGATCTACTGATTGGGGTGACTGATTGATTACTGATTACTGATTATCCAATGTTTGCCAGGCTGAGGCTCGTGCTGAGTTCGCTGAGAGATCCGTACAGAAACTCCAGAAGGAGGTTGACAGGCTGGAAGGTATGTGTTTTTCCGACTCAATATTTCTTCCATTTGCTTTAGATATTTCAATTACAAATTTTCTACTAAAGAATCTTTTAATGTTTTCCTTATTTCATTTCAGTAGATTATTCACAATTTCCTTTTAATCAGTTTGATAAGTATTTAAATTCTTTCAAATCAATCCACTTTATTTGTTTTAAATTACTATCTAAATATCTTTTGTGTTTATAGTTGACAATCTTTATACAGTAATGATTATTTAAATGATTATTCGATACCAAGTGCAGTGTGTTAAATATCTTCTTGTTTATGTTTAAAATGTTACTGTACATTCATTGTTGCATCGCTTTTGCGTTGAACCGAGTGAGTAACAGATTTCCTTACTGTGTTAAACCACTAATTCGTGTACAGTCCGACTAATCTCAGTGTTGCTCTAACAGAGAGTAGTTGAACTTGAAAACACAAAGTTTTTTATTTTGTTCCTTTTTATTTTTGTGTGTTGTTGTTGTGCGCTTGTGTTTGAGCATGCGTTTGTTTTTGTAGACGACTTGGTCACCGAGAAAGAGAAGAGCAAAATTCTGCAGGAGGAGATGGAGGCTACTCTTCATGACATTCAGAACATGTAAACAACACTTAACTTAGGCGCCTCTTAACGCACGCACTCACACGCCGCACACTCCAACAACCCTGGGCAGGAACTAACATTCACCCCAACAAAAATTTCATTTAGTTCTGAAAGAAAACGATTAACATTGGTCGTGGTTCCTTAGTAAAAAAAATTTATTCAGAAGTTTTTGAAAAAAAAATATACTTTTATTGCCTTTTAAAATTTGTGTACACATTGCTACATAAGTAAATAACACAATTGTCTCATTATCAATATAATTTTATATAAATTGTGTTTATTTACTTTTTTATCTGCGTACACAATTTTTGAACAAGTAAATAAACGAGCGGTGCTGGTTTAGGGTTTGGTGAAGGTACCGAGGGTTGTTGGAAACAAATTATGGGGCACCTTTCACATTCCGTGTACATAAATCTAGCGAAATATTAAATAATTATTGTTAAAAATTATTTCATCGTTATATATTTGCTCATTGTTAACAATGTGCAAGAAATTATTAAGTTGTGCTTATTGGATATGTATTGTTGTTAGGCTTACTTCATTGTTATGTATTTCTTTATTGTACGGTTGCTAATTAAATATAAAATTTATGATAGTTGCAAACAAATTAAGATCTCTAATGTTTTTCCTCATATTTTTCATGCTTAAGTCGGGTTTTACAAAACACTACAATCTATAGTTCATGAATTAATAACCACAACAAATTTTGTAACACTAATGAATACATTCAACAGTACTTAAACTGCTTTAAAAACATCAATTGCTTTTTTAACGCTTAAAATGCAAGGTTCTAGTATAAAAACCACCGACCACTAATCCCAGTCCTCCGTGGCCACTCGACAGTTTGGTAAACTGTACATATCACAGTCATGTACCATGTACGTACACAAACAGCTCAGCATGATATGCATGGTAATCTATGTTCTACTTAGTTTAAAACCAGTCTAAGTAATTTTTGCTTTTTATTGAGTTATACTCACTTTAATTTGTGTTTTGTAGAAGTTTCTTTACCTACACTAGTTTACTTTTTACAAACTTGATTTTTATTTACTTTTATATTATTTCAATTTGTGTGAATGGAAATTATAAACATGTATCATTTCCGATTGAAAATTTTTAGTTCAAAAGATAAATGATTATAAACGTAACTGATAAGAAAAAAACATTTCGAATTATTTGAAATTATGAATTTAGACTTAGTTGACAACATAATGTTTAAGTGTAATTTGTATGCTAAGCCATCTCAAAAACTCCTACTTGTATTTCAAACATTTCACAGAGTATTTTTCTAAAATTTTTGGTTTTTTGTTGCAAACAAAATTAATTGTCGTTCACGCAGTCTATAGCAATGTTTTCAACACTTTACTACAAATGTTGCCCCTTTTGATTTGAACATAACCAATTCATGCTACATTCTATACAACATTAAGGAACCTCTTCAGAACTGTGAGGAATCCTATTCAAAAGAACTTTTGTAGCATATTAAATATAAAACGATACAGATTTAGTCTCGTTTCTACAGAAGGTATTTTCATTTTTGCAACTAACTCACTACCGGGTGTCTGGAGACTCTACATGGAGAGGAGTGTGACGGCCGGTAGTGAACCTGTTAATAACGTTTGAACCGTGTATGATTGTTTTTTTGTCAATAATTCTAACCAGAGTTTGACCCCGCCCCTTTCAACTGCTCTGTGAATGTTGTAACCGTGTGGTAGCGGTAGCCGTGTGGTAACCGTAATCCTACTGTTGTATTTCAGATGAGTTGGTGGTGGAGAAGGAACGTTATCGCGTCATCGGAGATGGCTTGGACTTGGCATTTGTAGAGTTATACGGATACTAATCTACTGCGCTAGCGTGTGCCATCACTTTACATTCACCTTTAGATTAACCGACAAATCTGTTTGTTTCTGCTTTTTTTCTGTGCTACAAACGGACGGCAAATTTGCCCCGTCTCCCTGATCTGTTGATCGGTCTCTGTAAACACTTGTGATGGTGAAAATTTTAATCTGTAAATATCTATTTTAACATCAATAATTATTTTTGTACTGATTTTTGACCGCTATTCTGAACGAAGCTCAACAAATACCAGTTGAGAAAATGGCTATTTTAATCTCTTAATTGTTGCAATTTCAGATATTTATTATGTTTTAAAAACTCTTCGTATTTATTTATTTAATTTGTATATTTCAGATTCTTTTAGTTTAGTATTACTTTTAATTACTTTGCTGGTTGTAAATAAATTAGCTGACTTCTGATTTCTTGCCTAATCGTTTTAATAGTGTCATTAACGTTAACCGGCTTCAAAGTCATTAATCAAGAATCGAGAAAAAAATAACTAACAAATCGGTTGCTTAGGGCTCTACACGGCATGAATGTCACTTTATTTTTAATTTCGATTGTTAGTTTATCTAAGTTTATTTTAGTTTTAGAATGTGATGTTTTGTTTTATTTTTTATTTGAATGTTTATGTAGTCGCCTAGTTGGCTCATGTAACTCGCTTTTAATGTACTAGGGGAAAATAATGTGCAAGAACATTCAGCAATATCACATTGTACAGACTACTTAGGTTCCTTTAAGTATCTATTATATAATTTTGAAATTTATACTTAATATGAAGGTGAATAAAACTGCCACCATTGTACTGATTTTGTTTTCATTTTTCCGCTTTTTCTTTAGTTTAGTGAAACGTTGGCTGATTGGGGAATGAGAACTGTGTGTTCAGTCATTCGTTGTAAAAATAATAAAAGTCTTTATAGCACTACAAATTTCATTGCAGGAACAATTTGTAATGTGCATTTGTTTTTATATACTGTTTTCAGTCCATTTAAGTAACAAACAACAATATGACATTTGAATCCTTAATAACAGTTTAAAGGTCTGAAAATGAACACGACAGTTCTCACAATGACAATGGGAGGTTTTAAGCTTTGGAAAGCAAAGAGTCTATGGGGATTTAAATTAAATACTATATTTTTTTGTACAGCATTATTTATTGCCATACAAAATAGTTTGATTATTCATACAAAGTTCCTCATATGAAGATAATCGAATAAACACCTTTTGTGGATGATATTAAAAAAAAAGAATCAAGTAAAATTACGCACACCCCAGCATATGTAGAAGGAGAATAGTGCACTTAAGTACAGTATTTGCATTTTCTGCTGTTTTGCTTTAGGTGTTGTCATTGTAGAGCTTTCACTGTAGATTGCGCTATTGGCACTCGCTAAACTATATCAGTGTTTTGCATCCCAAAATTTCAGTGTGAGCATATTTAGGAAAATTCAACGAGCTTTTGAGTATTCATACAAACACTTAGGATTTGAATTACATTTAAGATTAAATTAATTGAGTATTTGAATTAGAGAAAAGTTAAAAGATGTCTGTAGTTTTGATTTTTGGTCCAGCTTCAAAAAAAATATATATCAAGGATCTTAAAAATTAGTTGGCGTTAATATATTTCTATTGCAGTGGAAGTATGGAAAGGAAAAATAATTCAACTTATAAATTTATTCTTTTTCAATTGTCAAAAATTCTAAAGAATAATACAGATGCATTCTGTTTTAAGGAAGGTATCTAAATATTAAATGTTTGAAAAGGTACCAAACTGTTATTTCTGCTGGGGAAAATAAATTTAGGTTCAGTTATCAATTCAAATCTATGTTTAAAATTTGCAAGTATCTAGGTTATTTGTACATGGCATCTAGTCTTCACTGAGAATTTTTTAAACAAGATGCCAATTTTTTATCTTTCTTTAAATAATATACTGTAGTGTTAACAAACTGGAAGCTATGGTGATTATTTAAAATTACTATGTGAATGTAAACTTTTTAAGAGATAATCAACCTTAAAAAATATATGACAAATAGATAACATGAAAATATTTAAATAAACTTGTCAAATTTATGCTGATTATACAATTACAATAATTGGAATTATATAATTTTTTTACATAAATAAAAGATATTTGTTGGGCGAATAATTTTGTTCCTGTCTACATATACATTTTAAATGTTATAAATCTAAAAACAGCTTATGATTTTGAAATCTGCGTGATCTCAAGACCTAAGGTAAGCCATGATTTTCCACACTCTTACCAGAGAGATATTATTTTGGCTATTCAACTGTCTTGAAACATTTGAGGTTAATTTCTTTCCATTCTGTTTCTTATCCTAAAGAAACAAGTGCAAATCATCATACTCATTGAAATTGTTATATTTGGTAGTCAATGATAATTAAAACAATTTTGTCACAAGTGTTTTTAAAGTTTTTGCTGTGACACATACCATATAAAAGGTTATAAGAATGATCGTCATGATATACTTCGTACTAATGAGTACGTAATTGCAAAACATTTTTGTAAATTACCTGTATTTGCATCGGCTAGTAATAACATAGATCTAACCTATATGTTTTAATGAATTTCGCTTCCTTAATCGAATCGTAGGCTCTCACTTGTTTTTGGCTTACGCTTCTATTTGCAAAAATAATCCAAAATTGTAACCATATAAAAACGTTTTAATATGAATATTTTATAATTTTTGTTTTAATTCCGCCAATACAGATGAGTTGGTTCATGAGAAGGAGAAGTACAAATACATCTGCGACGATCTGGACCAAACCTTCTCCGAATTGGTCGGTTGAGAGCTTCGCCTCTTTTGTCACTCGCTTGATTGTTGAGCGGTGCAGATTCATCTTATCAATTCCAAAACATCTAGGATAATTTATGTAACAGATCTTTTAAAAAACAATTTAAACAACTACCCACAAACTATATTTTTATCATTGTGTAACTGAATATAAATATATATTGTATTGTTTTTATCGTCTTTTCATTTTTCCGTTGTTTTATTTTTATTTCATTTTAATTATTTGCCTACTTTAAATAGGAATTTACTTTGATTTTCAGCATAAATTGACTGTCACTTAGTTGACATAGAAGACTATCATGTCTTCATAAAGTTAGGCTATTATTGTAAATGATTATAAAAATCTCTGGTACTCAACAGATGGTTCTAGGTATTTTTTCCATCGATCCAGTTAGCAAACTCATATGTCTTACCGCAAAGGTAACCTCATTGAATTGTCTTAAATCCTTTGCCAACAAGACATTCGAACAGTTGGTAAAATAATAAATTTGGAATTATTATTATTAACACTGGCAATGCTGAAGTGCTATTTTGAATTCTATATAATAATGTTAACAATACATCTATGCTCCGTTTGCTGGGGAAGGCGGTTTGAGGGGAAGTGATTCTATGACAGCTGATTGGAGGAACCTAGAATCCTTTTCCTTAAACCACCTTAATTTTGTAAACGGACTACTGGATAACACCATAAACTAAACCAAATAAAATAAACTGTAAAATAATCTAATAAGTTTCAGAATTTTGTTATACAGAAGTTTTAATGTTAAATGAATTCCCTTTTTATGGTAGAATTTCTGAATAAACTGTAGACATTTGTGAAAATTGTTCAAATATATTTTTCAACACTTTGCATGCTTCTGTAATATTTGCTACACTTCACATATTTGCATGAAAGTCACATTGAAAATAGCACAGTTTGTTTATTTTATTGTAGAAAGTGTTTTCAAGTCTAAATCATTTTTTTTATAAATTAGGTTGTAAAGAAGATCAGTTTAACTGTATTAGCAAAGAAAGAGTAAGTGTAACGGTCATATACGGGTTTTCATTTTCAATCCTCCAGACTTTTTTACTTGTCCATTTTAATTTACATTTCTATCAAAACATTATTAAGTCTCCTAAAAGTGGGTTGCTGGAACTAGGCTGGGCCTTGGCCTGTTTATTTCTTTCATAGAATTATCTGACATTTACGAGCTGTGTAAAATGTGTACCAGGCCTATGGTAAAGTTCCAGGCCAGGTGATGCACAATTGCCCCATTAGATACTTACCCCCCCTCCCTCCCTTCCTTGCAAATGAATTTTTCACTTGGGCCCACAACAAACCTAAAACATGACTCCTGGGCCCAGGCCGATTTACTAAAGCAACCCCGGTGTATATATAGCATGATATTATCATTTTATGCAAAGAGTTTAATTTACAATCCTCCTAGTTTATAGGGTAGCAGTATAGTAGCAATGCCTTAGTCACAGACTAAAAAAGGTGCATTACAAAATCTCACTTGTATCAAAACATAAGTTGCTGCTTGGGCAGAAAGAAAAAAAACAACGCTATCAATGGTAAAAAAAAACACACTGCAGCTGAAGTTTTGAGGAGGCAGATTCCTGTTTCAAGAAAATATGGTCTTAAATAAGTAAAAAGAACTAAATTCGTGAACTCCATTATAAGTAGGCCAATGCCTAACAATTACGCCTCTTTCACACTATACGGTTTCCGCCGTCTGGTTGAAAATAGTATGATTTTACACTGTTTCTTTTACATTACACGGTTTCTTACCATGTGGCAAGATGAATGTGTTGCAACGCTACAATAAATACAAACAGGTCAGATTGTAAACAATAAATTTTGCAACAGCTGATCTATTTAATGGCACTGGCTGGTGGGCTCGTGTTCCATTAAAAAGCGTGCAGTATGAAAGCATGCATTTAATTACATGCGCCACTGACGCACGGCCAGGCGCAACAATCAAATGGTTCAGTGGCAGTAGACGGCTGCAAGACTGCACAGGTTCTGCCGTTGCTGTAACCGTATGGTGTGAAGGTCCTCATGCTCTTTACACTACTGTAAAGAATTACCCCTATGGTGAAAACCATATAGTGTGAAAGTCCTAATTTTTTTACATTGCAATCTAATTATTGATTGATAACAACATTAGGCTGGTATTACAAAATCATAGTTCTACGTCATATAACTATTACAATACAAAATACTTAACATACAAGTTTAAAAAATACAAGTTTTGAGCTGTTTGGACAGTTTCTCAATCTGTAACACTTACAGACATTAACAATGATTTAATTCATAATGAAGTAAAAAAAAAAACACATGAAAAACAGAAAACTGTGAAGTGAAAAACAGTTACTTGTCTCAGTTTTGCACTAAATTAGCAGAATAGTGCATAGGCCTAGCGTTGGAAAACAAATATTTGATCCAATTAATTTGGACTAGAGATTGAAAACCCCTGTTTTACAGGCCTATTTTGACATACCATACTCCTGATGAGTTTGGTTGAAGCTATATTCTTAACCCAAAGGTGTATTGAAGTAGCAATTTGTGCCAAATCCACAAATTCTTCACCACCCAGGATAGGTGATAAAGCAATATTATGCTGCTAAAAAAATAGCCCTACGCTTATTTCCCATATTGCACTAATGTGCTCCAGAAAGTTCATTGTCAAAATGCTGCTGACAGTTGTGATTTACTGAAATTAATTACTGGTAATTCAAATAGTTTTTCATTCCGTATGCACTGGAACACCACTCCCAGTAATAGTTAGGACTGCGATGAACTAGTTAAGGATGTAACACAATGCATATGAGGGCCTAGGTTCTTAGGATTTTTTTATAGGGATATAAAAGTTATTTCTGGAGAGTTTTAACATGCCTTGAACTAGTTAATTAGATACACCAAAAATCACCTGATACTAGATATTTCCTTGGTGTTCACGAATACTTGAACAGAACCGTTATGGATCATAAACAAACAAATAACATTGCTGGC